TTAGGGTTCAAGGGTTTAGGGGTTTGGGGTTTTAGGGTTTAGGGTTCAGGGTCCAGGGGTCTGGTTTTAAGGATAAGGCTGGCGGGCGCCCTTGGACACCGAAGCCATTTCCCTGAAGGGTCCAAGTACCTCGGAATCAGAAATACTCTACCGAATAGTAACCTACATAACTACAAACCGAAACGCCCCTGCGAAGCCCAAAAGATCTCATGGAGGAACCCCTGACCACGGCCCTTTGGACCCTTGGAGTTTGAGGGTTTAGGGTTTAGGGTTAGGGTTGAGGGTTTAGGAGTTAGGGTTTAGGGTTTAAGGTTTAGGAGTTAGGGTTGAGGGTTTAGGAGTTAGGGTTTAGGGTTTAGGGTTGAGGGTTTAGGGTTCAGGGTTTGGGGTTTAGGGTTCAGGGTTTAGGGTTTTGGGGAATTTGAGGTGCCCTCACAACCGGAAAGAGCATCGCAGAGTCTCTGGGGCCTCTGGTCTTCAGCTTCCTCTTCCAGGAGGGAACGAGGGGCTCTCGAAAAAGGGTTGAAGGGTTCAGGGTTTAAGGGCTTAGGGTTTAGGAGTTTAGGATTTAGGGTTTAGAGGTTCAGGGTTTAAGGGTTTAGGAGTTTAGGGGGCTTAAAGGTTCAGGGTTTAGGGTTTAGGAGTTCCGGGTTTCGGGTTTAAAGGTTCAGGGTTTAGGGGTTCAGGGTTTAGGGTTCAGAGTTTAAAGGTTCAAAGGTTCCGGGTTTAAGGGTTCAGGGTTTAGGTTTTAGGGTTTACAGGTTAAGGGTGTAGGGTATTGGAGTTTAGGGGTTTGGTTGCGAAAAGGGTTGCTTACTAAGGTTGCTGTAAGGGTTGCTGCAACACCGTGAGGGGTTACTATGGTTACCGTAAGGGTCACCACAAGGGTTACTACCTTCCAGGAGAGAGAAAAAGAAGGGCTTAAAAAGGGCAAAGGGCTTGGGAAAGACCGTTTAGTAGATAGAGTGATTAGGAGCGTGCAGCCGGGTTTGGGTTTTAGGGATATCAGTTTTGGGAATGTGGGTTCAGGGCACGGCTTCGGAGGATTTAGGACATGGGCTTTGATGAGTTCAGGAAGTCCACGGTTTCGGGGAAGTCTGGAGTTTAGGACGTAGGAATTCAGGAGGTTTGGTTTCGGATATAGCTTGGCGATTTGGGGGCCTGGGCCCAAGCTTCTTTGGGCATTTTTTCGAGCTATCCCCAAGTTTGTGTATTAGTGGGGGCTTAGGGTCACCAAGTTTGTTTGGTGGGGTGTTTAGTGGGGGGTTTAGGGTTATCTCCAAGTTTGCGCCGTGAATTTCATCCTGCTGCAGATCGGATCTGAGTCTAAGCATGCAGACGGTCCCGCAGTCTCGCACGCTCTTAGACTCTTGCACACCCACCGACATCTTCATCAAGCATCGCCCAGACGTGGAGACCACGACTCCGATCACATCTAAGCTCACTGGGCTTTCTCATGTTCGTCTCCAGGTATATGGGTAGCTTTCTAGATTAGGGTCCCTTGTAGGGTGCCCAATATAGAACGACACCATTACAACAAATAAAAAACGGACCTCAAGAGGGACCCCTAACCTAGAAAACTACCCATATACGGAATTGTTTCTAGGTCCGGTCGAACATTGCTCCGTCGGTAAAGCCTGGTATGCGAGGCTTTCAGTGCTTCCGGAAATGCTCCCGGCCAAGCAGATCAGCTTCATTCCAGGCACAGAGAGGGATCTGGCGGAATCAAGCATGTACCATATATACATATATATATATAGATATGCATGTAT